ATTTGCAAAAGAGACTTGTTATGAAGAATTCTGTTAGATGAGACCAAGAATAAATAAAGTGAAATCAAATCCTATGACAGTATTTAAATGAACTAAAGGTTAAGACTGTTAAAAGTAAAAGAAGGGGCTATACACTTGTTTATTTGATCAAGGTTAAAACAGGATATCTTGTTACTGCTAACTAACGTTCATGAACTTTCTGTTGACACCAGGAGTGAAAAAAAATGATTTTTATGGATTTCTTTATAGATGACAGATAGGATAGGGATACGGAGACAAATGTAAATTTGGAGAGTCTGAAGAGTTGCTTGTTTATGCTTGTTGGAAAATTGTTCCATACCATTGGTCCACAGACTCAGCTCATTGGAAGGGGTAAGGACTAGGTGGATGTAGTCCTCCACTGCAGATATGATGAGGAGATCCCCAAACAGAACATGAGTTAGGGTGAACAATGACTAAATTTCAGAACGGTACCTTCATAGTTTACAAAGGCCCTGGTGATTGGTTTTTCAGCTATGCAGCTTGGAAACAGTACAATTAAAAAAGAGAAAGGGATAATACCTCAGCCCATTCGGTCTTATTTAAATCATAAGGCTTGGGAAGCAATGGAGGATGGATCTATCTATATATATCTTTTGTCCTACGTTGGATTGCCAAAATTAAAAATGATTGAACCAATGTAGCTTTATTAATTCCAGCTGGATTGCATGTTAAATTTTTTGGAAAACATGCAAAATGACATTCAATTCTATCAGAATAGAGCTGGAAGGGACCTTGGAGGTCTTCTAGTCCAACCCTCGCTCAAGCAGGAGACCCTACACCATTTCAGACATTCCTTGTTATTAAAAATCCATCCAGGAGGTACAATTGCTTGGATTAAAAAAAACCCTGCTGCTTTGCTTGTTCTTCTTTATTAAAAGGAAGAAAAATGAGAGCAAACTTTCTAATTATTTTTGCAAGCCAGTGTAGCCAAAACAAGGGTACCTAATGTATTAAATGCTAAGCATTACTCCCCCTCTCTCTAGCAATACTCTGAAATCAATGAAATGTCAAATGCTTATAGAATTTGGAATTCCTCTGATTAAATAAGTAGTCCTACAACAGTATCTGTTACCTTGGAGCATTTCTAACCATATGCTTCCAGGAAATTTTCTGCCATAATAAATATTCTCCAGTGTGATTTCCTAACTTTAGCTGTCATAGACTATATAACTGCTATAATAAAAAGGTTGGGCATTTCTGCAAATCTGCGACAATATAGTTGTGTGTATGTGTATATATGTGTGTGTGCCTGTGTGTGTTTTATATAAAGTCTCTGCTCAGAAATGCACAATTAAGTTTTGCATTCTCAACCTGTCCCTGCTGGCCTAAGACGCATTAGTATTCTACTGGCAGCTGCCTATAGGTAGTAATATTATTTTGTCCATAACCAGAGGGAACAATAAGACTAAGCCATTCTCTGACTATAAACCAGCCAAAGTAATTGGGTTTAATTTTAATTTTTGTAATAGCTTTAAATTAATAGAAGCAGCTGCTGCCACAGTGTGTGGGTGTCCTTTTCCAGCAGGCATAGAACTTAAAGAGGAAAAGAGTAAACAATGGTATGTCTAGGACACAGAGGTTAATACAAAAACTGAACAATGTCTTTGTTTAGTCAAAAACTTCACTGGCCATAACTAGTGTGCTATTTCTCTTTTGTTTCTCTGTCTTTCTATCTGCTTCCCTTTTTAAAATTCAAAGATAGTCTCAATCTGATTAGGCTTTTATTGTTGGTATTGTAGTACCCTCTCTCCTACATTTGACTTGGAAGCAGATTATCCCTGAAAAACAACGGTAAGAATAGATTAACCCTCTAGAGTTCCATTACAGTTATACTGAAGACCTCTTAAAATAAGCCTGTTCTGTGAATAGAGGTTTATATCTCTTAAGGGAGAATAGGTCTTTCTCTTATAGAAATCACTGGCTAGTAAACTAATAATATAAAAAAACAACAAAGAGCCTTGTGCCACCTTTAAAACCAACAGATGTACAATTGTATAAGCTTTTGTAGGTTTTAGTACATCTCATCAGACATATGACATATAATTCATTGAACTGTCATTGAGCCGGGCTCAGCTCTTGGTGTCTGAATGGAAAAACGCTTTCCATCCCAATCTAATTTTAGTACAGGCATTGTTGGTAGGGAAGGAAAGGGAGGATGGTGAAAGGAAGATGAGAGATTGCTTTAGAAATGAGGTAATACAAAATTGCAGTTAAACTTCTAAGGATTGTTGAGGTGCACTCTGATTTGAAGTCCACTTAGAAGTATTTGATAGTATATTATGGTAAGAACAATGCAGTACTAGATGTGGCTTCAGGTCCATGGAAGAAGCAAATTGATTTCCTGCTTTTTCCACTGATTGGTTGATAGTCCCCCTGGACGTTTTCTATTGCACCAGATACTGGTTTCCCTCTGCTGGGATGTTGGCAAGCTTCCCTCACGCATTTGACACTCTGTTTGGTGGTATTCTTAAATTTGGTTAGAAAAGGTATTTCACAGACCTATTAACACTGAATAGGTAATGCTAATTGCTAGTTGGATTAGTTATAACCCAGTATCACAGGCAGGAATTACATTCATGTTCTGCCTTTAGACTCCCAGGAGGTATTTGATTAGTCACCGTCATCATCATCATCGGTTCCTTTGGAGCAAAGCTTCTTCCAATGAATCTTATCTGTGGTGGCATCTTTGGCATCGTCCCATTTGATGTCTACTGTCTGTAATTCACGTTTTAATGTCTGATGCCAAGTTTTGTGTGGTCTAGCCTGCCTCAACTTTCCCTCTGGCAGCTTCCATCATATAGCACTTTTCAGGTATCATATTCTGGCAACTGAAGAATATGGCCAGCTAGGCACATTCAATAGCCTCCAACATCCTGTATCCACTCCATGGCAAAATGTCTTTATTGGTGTTTCAGTTGCACTAAGTGACACCCAGAATTCTTCATAGGCAATGTTGATAGAATACATTCATCTTTTGTGCTGTGCATGGTGTTATTGCCCATGTTTCACTGGCACAGATTGCTATTGGTACAATGATTAGTCACCATAGGGGAGAAAATATTCATCTGGATAAGACTTTTTTCTTATTCAGATCTACTGGTTATTGGCAATAGCAATAGCAATAGCACTTAGACTTACATACCACTTCACAGTGCTTTATAGCCCTCTCTAAGCAGTTTACAGAATCAGCATATTTCCTCCAACAATCTGGGTTCTCATTTTACCAACCTCGGAAGGATGGAAGGCTGAGTCAACCTTGAGCAGGTGAGAATCAAACTGCTGAACTGCTGACAGTCGGCAGTCAGCAGAAGTAGCCTGCAGTACTGCATTCTAGCCACTGCACCACCATGGCTCATTTTCCCTGTCCTTTTTTTTCTTTTAGAGGATGGTTATGGTGAAAACTCAATATATTTCCAGTATCTAGTGAAACCCTTGTGCTTTTTATTTATGAATTCTCCAGGAGCATTTGGCTGGTTACTGTGAGAACAGAAAGGTAGACTGGATAGGCCTTAAATATCAGACCTTTTTTTCTCTTTTTCCCTCATTCTCTTTCTCTTGGACACATACCACATATAACTACTACCACTTAAATCAAAAATTAATTTCCTCAATCCTTTTGGATCATAGAGATCCAAAATAACAATGAGAAAATTGGAGATTGTATAAGTTCAGAATGCTTAGACTGCACTCCAGCAATGTAATAAATGATGAACCCTCTCATCCTTTTTGGTTGATGAGCCAGAGCAATAACAAGGGGGAATGGATTTTATTTCATCTCCATTGAGCAGCATTGCATAGTCCCTTTTATTGTATTTTGTCAGGAAGATTTTAGTTTTGCTTTGGATGGTTCTTAACTACGTGTAATTATAAAATATGTCATTTACTGCAATGGGAAATTTCTTGTTTCCATTTCACATTAACAATGAAAGGCCAAAACTGATCTTCTGCAGTTGCTTTTTTTTGGGGGGGGGGGGGACCATTACAGCAAAAGACATTAGTATTGCTGTGTTCTGCAAATCATATTATATTTTCTTCACCATCATTGCCTGATTGTAGTGAACTCCTGATAAAACCATTACAGAGGACCTGTTTATTATATTGCTTAATTGAATAAGCTAGTGCCTACAGGATAATAGTATTCTTTTGCCAGAGGGCTGGAGAATTTGTTGTATTTGATTACTAAGAGTCTTGTGGAGTCTGTCCAGGCAAATAAAAGCTGAAAGCTTATACTTCCAATCAATTTTGACTCATGCACCCGAGATTGCCATATATAATTATCCCGAATTCTGGTACAAATTTAAATATGCTGTCCAATACAAGGTACTCTCATGCAAATTTGATTTCTGAAAAATGTACCTTTGCTCATCTTCCTGCTGTGACTTTTTAAAAATCGTCCAATAATTGATTTCTGTAAGTTTCAACGTATTGTTTCAAGAAATAGTGTGCTTGTCTTTTTTTATAACTATTTAATACACATCTAAATGATTTATTTAGCAAGGTATAAAGCACTATAATTTTGCAAGAATGTTTTTATTTTGTCTTAAATAAGTTGATTTTCTGATATTCCCGCAAGTTTTCATCATGACTATATGATATAGTTTAGAACATATTTGGTCTTGTTCTGTAGTCAATTTTACAGTATGACAACTGCTTTTTCCATAGCTATTCTCTTACAAGACATTAATTTCAATGAGACAAGACTGGTAAATCAAATCATGGATCTGTGGGGAATGTTCTCTTTGTACCAGACTTGAATATATTAGATGACTTTATGTCATAAAATCTTTTTGTGATTGGGGAAATAGAAAGGAACTTTTCAAAGCCGTAACCACATATTTAAAAATAGACTTAATAAGTTCTTCCAAAATGCATAGCCTTTGTCTGATAGTCTCTTTTTAATTATTAATTTCCTTAATAACATACATGAAATAGTTATTTTGTCTTATTTTATTTTTCAGGCAGAGACTTCCACCCCGAAATGTGTATTATTACCGCTGTCCTGATCACAGAAAGAATTATGTTATGTCATTTGCTTTTTGTTTTGACCGAGAAAATGACATATATCAATTTGCTTACTGCTACCCTTATACTTACACTCGTCTTCAGCATTATCTGGATAATTTAGAGAAGAGGAACATGGACTATTATTGCAGAGAGCTTCTAGGACATAGTGTGGTAAGTAGTAGAAGCATTTACCCCTCATAATGTTTTCTTATAAATATCTGGATCTCAATGGTGAAACATGAAGCTTAATCATCTCAGCTAATGGAACAATGGACATATTTATTTGCTACTGTCAGAGAAATGAGTATAACATAAAAGCCCAACTATGACGTAGATATGTTAAATTTGCAACTGTCTATGTGAAATGATATAGAGAAGATTAGTGAGGGTTTGTTTCCATAGTTATGATATGGAAATATGGTATAAGCTTTGCTGATAGCATCTTCATTTTCTTTATGTTCACCAATATTTTGTTCAAAAAGCTATATTTCCTCAAAATTGGACTGATTTTCATGGCTTTATGTAAAAGATACCTACATGTAAAGCCTTTCATCGATATAGGATTTATTTATTTATTGGATTTAGAAAACCACTCAAGTCCATAAGACTCTGGTTGTTCTGAAGACAGATATGAATGAGGAATACTTAAATTTGCCTTTCTAAGTCTAATAAAAAAATATGGAGCTCTCACTAACATTAGTTGCCAGTAAGCTGTCTTTGGTCAAAGTCATGCTAGAGCAATTCTGTGGAATTGTAAAATCTGAAATTTCAGCATTTGCTATGTAGGTGCAGAGATCTCTGGAAACATGTTACCATTTGATGTCAAGTTGAAAGAAGAGAATGCAGTCCATTTTTTTAAAATTACCATTTTTTATTCTTTATTATTTATACGTTTAAGATGACCAGAAAAATGTATTCTGATGTAGCAGAACAATTAAAGAAAAATACAGAAAATAAGCACACATATACACACATACTAAATACCAACCAGGAAAAACAGTTAATAGACAAAATAGGGCTGAAGACTATTTATGAATTCAGAAATTGCAGTTAATCCTCCTAGATTTTACAGAATAGTGTAGGAGTTCAGCTTATAAAGGTCTTGTTCCTCAAGAGCTCTTACTTCCATTCCACAAAAAAGGAACCAAATTTGGCTTAAAATGTCTCTGCTTTGGGTTTGAGGAAGATCATTAATTAAGGGTGGAAATCTCCCTTTTCCACCACTGGTTTTGAATTGAAAAAAGAAGCGCAGTTAATATTCTGCTGTTGTGCAGAAATATTTTTGACTGGGGCTATATCTAAGTGCTCAGGACTCGACAGTGATTTGGGAGCATGGTTGGGAATCAACACATATGAAGACTTTAATATAATGTAGACAGTAAGGAAGATAATTTTCACTGAGATATGTAGAAAGCACTGCATTTTTAAAATCAAGAATGAGATTACATTTGGAAGTGGCCCCCTAATTTGCTGGAGTATAAGAAGGGGAGGGAGACGCAGTCAATCAGACTTGCAAGTTTCTGCTATTGTAGCCAGTCTCAATACAAGTAGCGTTAGCCTTCCTGTGGAGTTGCTTTCCTGGTCTGATTTACCTAATGGGTCTGATACCAATCTTGCCAGACTGATTTTGGAATCTTGGCTCATACAACTACAGGTTACAACAGCAATTGGGACCATAATTTTTGTTGCTAAGTAATTTGATCGTAAAGCATGATGTCACATGACCATATTGCATACTGACAACAATTCTGGCAGCTCCGGTTGTAGTTGTAACAATAGGACTGTGCAGGTCTTTAAGTGGGAAGAGGTGGGAGTTCCGGGCAAGTAGGCCATTGGATATGGAGGTACTGTGGGTGGGGCCATGGGCAGATACCCCTGAGCCTGGGAGAATGTGTAGGTGATGCAGGAAAGAGGTGCTATGGCAGGCACCATCGAGCTCGGTTGGGCAAAAAAAGCAGTGGATACAGAAACAACATCTGACTTCTTGCTGACTCCCTCATTGACTTTGCTTATGGGAAGCCAGCAGGAAATTCCAGAAACTGCAATATCTTCTGTTTCATGCATATTCTATAATAGGAGAGTAATAACAGAATTATGATTTTGTGTCATAACTGTGAAACATTTCTGTCCGATCCTGACATACTCTATTTTTTAATGTTAGTTTTTCTCAATATAACATTTTCCTATAATATCTTATTAATAATATTAGAAATATTTTAATACTTTATTGCTGATGTCTGGTTTAAAGGGACTGGCTGTCTGGTTCATCTGAAATTATCAATAGTAGAGGAAGTTTGTTAGTATATAAAGTGGCTTCCAAAGGCAAAACATTCTGTTAGATTTACTACATTATAAATATAAAGAAGTCACGCTACGGTTGTTGCTAATGCATTCATCATTCTGCATGTATAATTTCAGGCTTATCACATTTGGTTTTCTACTCTCTTTCTTTGTCTGAGAAGTTCTATAATTAAATCAATAAGTATTTCCTAAAATTGTATGAAAATTAGACTTGGAATGATATTCAAATGGCAGATGCTGAGTGAATTGAGAAAGATTTTGTAAGCATGAAGAGAAATAGATCTCATGTTTTATAATACATCCACTTAGGACTTTTAAGCTTCAGAAATGTGCCAAACAATCTATGAAAAGAAGTGTCCTCTAAGCTTGATAGACCAGTAATCATCCACTAGATATTATTTTCATTCATATGCTCATTTGACACGCACTGTCTTTGGAAATATGTATTTTCTCAGAGTTCTTATATCTCTCACTCTGTGCTTAAGTTTTCCAAACTCAATTCTTACAGACTTATGCTACCAGTTTACAACCCTCCATAGTTATCAAACCCTTGCTTTCATTTCCTATATACTGTTACTATTATATTTGTAAATAAATGAGGAATGTTTAATAAAGGAATGCACTGAATAAGATGATTGGCTTTAGTGAAATTGCATGTATATTTTTAAGCTATTTAATTGTCTGGAAACATTCTACAGGTAGTCCTTGACTTATGACCACAATTGAGCCCAAAATTTATGTTGCTAAATGAACATTTGTTAAATGAGTTTTGCCTCATTTTACGACGTTTCTTGCCCCAGTTGTTAAGTGAATCATCACAATTGTTAAGTTAGTTGTTAAGTGAATCTGGCTTCCTCATTGACTTTGCTTGTCAGAAGGTCGCAAAAGCTGATCACATGACCCGGGACACTGCAATCATTAAAAATATGAAACCGTTGCCAAGCATCCAAATTTTGGTCATGTGACCATGGAGATGCTGAAAAAGTCATAAATGGGAAAAATGGTCATAAGTCACTTTTTTGGTGCAATTGTAACTTTGAATGGTCACTAAATGAACTGGTGTAAGTTAAGGACTACCTGTACTTACCAGTTTATTAAATCTGCCATTCATATAAATGAAAAATTTATACGGATAAAGAAGAAAAAGAACTTTAAAAGTAGATACATGAATTTTGCTCTGTCACTGGTTTGCGTGGATTGGATAAAACATTTTGCTGGCTGGTTCTGATATGCCTGTTTACATCAAGAATCCCACATCAGTCAACTTCTGGGGTACCATGGTAGATTGAGCACAGCTCTGCTTTTTGTAGAGCTGACGAATGTGGCCAAAATAGGAGCCATGAAGCAATCGGTTGTTGAAATTCTTCTCCAGACTAAGAAGGAGGTAAGGATCAACCATGTTTGACTCCATACAGGTTCTCCCTGCAAAGAGATTGGAAAAAAAGCATTCTCCAGTGGGATTTGAGAGTGCAATCTTGCCTAAGCCATGCTCATCACCTTTTAAAGAGACTCTTCCTCACTTAATCAAATTAGGAAGCTGCTTGTTATTAATTTCTTAGAACTTTCCCAAAGTTCTTATTGTATTACACCGGAAGATTTTTCCTTCTGTCCTGGACAAAAGAAGCTTTGAGTAAGTTTAAGGATTCATAAGAGAAGCTTTAATTTTTTTAAAACTATAAAAGAGGGTCTAGAATGTTGATTTTGGAAAGTTAAGGAGCTAGATAGACTTGAAAGAATATTTCCTGTGGGGTGTTTAAAAATTTATAAAATAGTATGTGAAGTTTTTGAAATTAAATGGTAAGAAATCTTCCTGTGGGAAAGTTTTGTTGACTGGAAAATAAACTGATAAGAGGGGACTTGAAGACTGGCTACAGGGAACCAAAAAGAACAAAGATTACTCTTAAAAGAGAACAACTACATCATTTGAGTATAGAACTGTTTGGGAAAATTTTACTCAAAAGTTACTTAAAAGATTGCGTGGTAGTATAGCATAAGTGTTGTGTTCTTTGTATTCCCCCCCCCCTTAATCCCCTATGCATATCCTGATCACCCATTAAGGGTGATTGCCCTTCACCATTGATCGCCCATTAAGGGTGATTGCCCTTCACCATCTGCATACAGTTTCATGCCCGTTGCTGGTTGGCTAACTAGCAACAGGGTCTTGCCAGCCAATGGAATTGTGTGATTACAAGCCAGGGGAATCCCCTAAAAGAGGGCTCCCCTGGCCCAGAGAGTCAGTCCGGATTTACTTTATGCCTTGCCAATAAACCAAGAGCTGACTGTCACTCGACTCGTGTCTTACTGCCTGCGCGATCTAACAATAAGAACAATAGATTTTACTGGATAAAACAGATTGAGACTGATCTGAATGTGGATTTGGAGTTTTAAAAAATGCTGGATTACAAAAGTGATTTGGAAAAAGATGTTGTGGATCTGAAAATGGATTTAAAAATGATGATTTAAGAGTGATATGGAAAAAGATGTCCAAATGGATTTACAAATGAAACCAGTTGATGTTTTAATAATTAAAGGGGATGTACAGGTAATAAATTGAAAGAATGACTTGGGAAACCTTCTTTGGATTTACAAAAACAATATGTGGAACCAAGGAAACTCTCTCTGAGAAGAGACAAAAAGCAACTGACCAAGCTGTTCCCATGGAGACAAAGAGAAACTGACAAGAAATTAACTTGTGGGACATTATTTGATGGGACTAAAAATCAGGCTTTCCAAAAGTGAAAAGAAGATATATAAAGTGTATATTTTGTAATCTGACTATTGATAAGGGATGAGATATGGGAAGAAAAGTTTTTTAAAATCAAAGTACTAAAAAAGATGTTCAGTTAGACCAGGCGTTTCAAACTGCCAGCCCGTGGGCCGGACGGATCACCAGGAAACCGCGCCCACCCCATTGCTGGCAATGGGAAAAAAGCTCCGACGTCGTGCGTTTGACATGTCTAAGTTAGACAAATTGTTTATACATTTCGGTGTAAATATCTTTTATATATCTTTTTCTCTTTCTTTTTATCCTTTTTTTACTCTTCTTTTCTTTACTTTGTATATTTTTCTTAGTTTGTATTTCTTTTATCGTTGTATTTCTAAACTTTAATACACTGTGTATGTTTCAAAATAGATTTTTCCATTTCCTCAGTATAGTATGAAGAAATATGAAGTATGAAAAGTATGAGCCTCCATGCTATCAGCCCCCTCTACCACAAAGATCCTGCAAGAGAAGGGCACTGTGGACAACCGTGGGATCTGGCAGGGTGAGAGCTGTGAACCATAAACACAAAGCTTTCTCTGTGTCCCTGCACAATAGATACAGTGCCCTTGCTGACTTCTGGAAGCAGAAGCAATAGAACACAGTCAAACTAGATCTTGGATTTTAAGAGAGCTAATTTCAATAAACTTAGAGAGAGCTTGGGAACGATTCCATGGATGAGAATCCTCAAGGGGAAAACAACTCAAGAAGCTTGGGAAATTTTGAAAAATGAGATAATAAAAGCCCAGTCTA